AAGTCAACAAGCTCAGCGACAAGAGCAGACGCAGCAGCAGACTCAAACGACGGGTCAGTGACAACTGTGGCTAGTAGACGCGTGACAGTAGGGTGCTGAGCACGAAACCGGTCAGACGCAGGGTCCGGAACGTCAGGCAAAGAGGACGCAGGAGGAGACGGCAGAGGAACAGGCTGCGGAACAGAGGAAGGACGACGGACTACGAGGTGCGCGCTGGGGACAGCCGGCGGACGCGAACGAGGAACACGAGGACCGGTACGACCAGGACGAGCAGGCGAGACAGGACGCGACGCAGGCTCACGACGCACAGCAGGACTACCAGTCAGCTCAGCGTAAGGAGAAGGAGCAGGCAGCGGCGAGCCAGTCTGTAACGGAAGACCAGTAGACGACGGAAGAGTAAGAACCTGACGAAGAACAGAGGCAGACGGCGGCAGAGACGACGAAGACGGCGGAGCGAAGAACAGTCGTGTCGGCGCAGCTGCACCAGAACCAGCAGCTCCAGCAGCTCCAGTGCCTCCAGCAGCTCCAGTACCTCCAGCAGCTCCAGTACCTCCAGCAGCTCCAGAAGCTCCAGGCCCAGAGCCGACACCTCGAGTCCCAGGGTCTCCAACCTCTGTGTCTCCAGCAGCAGCACCCCCAGAACCAGCACCTCCAGTCCCAGGGTCTCCAACCGCAGGGTCTCCAGCAGTAGCACCCCCAGAACCAGCACCTCCAGCTCCAGGGTCTCCAACCTCAGCGTCTCCAGCAGCAGCACCCCCAGAGCCAGCACCTCCAGTCCAAGGGTCTCCAGCCTCAGTGTCTCCAGCACGAGCCCCTCCAGAACCAGCACCTCCAGTAGACAAAGGACCAGCACGACTCCGAGCTCCAGCAGCGCGACGCTGACGGCGACCGTACCAGTCCTGCAGCTGCTGTGGGGTGAGAGGCACACGGGGACGAAGGCGGCCACTCCAAGGAGACCGCGCAACAGCAGACTCAGAACCCTCAGCGCCCGCACCCCCAACGGCTCCAGAACCTCCGGTGTCAGTACCCTCAGCACCAGTACCTCCAGCGACTCCAGAACCTCCAGCGCGAGCACCCTCAACAGCTCCAGGACCTCCAGCTCCAGCGCCACCAGGACTAGGCCCTCCAGCAGCTCCTGAACCTCCAGCGCCAGCACCCTCAGTAGCTCCAGAACCTCCAGCGTCAGTACCGCCAAGCTCAGCACCCCCAGACCCCTCACACGCAGGCTCAGCACCACCAGGCTCTACACCCTCAAGCTCCGCACCCTCAGGCTCAGTACCCCCAGACTCAGCACCCCCAGGCTCCGCACCCCCAGGCTCAGCACCCCGAGCAGGACCACTCGCAGGAGGACCTGAGTCACCAGTGACCTCAACCGGCGCAGTCAAGGGAGGAGGGTCTACCTGAGAAACACCTGAAGGAGCAGGACCGGGAGCGGGGAGGGGGTCTACCTGGGGAGCACCTGGAGCAAGGAAGAGCGGCGGGGGGGGGAGCGAGGCAGTGCGGTAGGGGAAGAGACGGTAAAAGGGAACCGACTCGTCGAACGTGACGTCCTGAGACGCAAAGACACGGCGCGAGGTGGGGTGGTAAAACTGCCAACCAGGCGCGTCAGGGACAAAGCCAAGGAAGACACAGGGAACAGCGCGGGCGGAGAGCTTGTCCGCGGTGGTATCGCGGACAAAGGCACGAGCACCCCAGACCCGGAAACGCGACGCATCGCCAACCTTCCCCGTCCACAGCAGTGTGGGCGAGGTCTCCGGCAAGGAGACACGGGGCCAGAGGTTGAGCTGATGCGCGGCGTACCGGACCGCAAACGGCCACAGAAAATGGGGGGCAGCCGCATGGATCATGGAGGTACGAGCGACCTCCATGACTAAGCCAATGCGGCGCTCAGCAACCCCATTCTGCTGCGGAGAGGCCGGAAGCGTGAACGACTGGGTGATGCCGTGCTCCGCACAGTAGGCTGCCAAGAGGTCGGAGGAGAACTCACCACCTCTGTCAGAGTGCAGACGCAGGACAGGAAAGTCCGACCGGAACCGCTCGCGGAGCTGGAGACGAACAGCGCGGATCCAGGGGATCAAAACAGCAGGGACGTCCCCCTTGCTCTGCAAGGGGAAGACCGTGGTGTAACGCGTGTAGTCGTCGACGACCAGCAGGAAGTACCGCTCGCGGCCCTGTCCCTGGACGCGGGCTGGGCCCCACACGTCCAGATGGAGCGTCTGCAGTGGAGCCTCTGTGGGAGGAAACGAGGAGGAGTGAGGAGCGGCGCGCTGCCGCCCCTCGACGCAAGGAATGCAGGGCGGCGCAGGCGAGGGAGGGAGGGCAGGCAGGGACCTGGGAAGACCAGAGACCAGGGAGCGAGAGTGCATGCTACGCAGGCGAGGCAAGGAGGGGTGACCAAGGCGGTGGTGCCACAGGAGAGTGTCGTGCGACAAAGCGCGACACTCGCAGGGGGCCGCCAGCTGACCAGACGCAGACGCAAACGCAGACGCAGCTACCTGAGGGGACTCAGTGGTCAGTGTGTACAGACTCGAGCCAGGTGCACGGGTGAACGTGGCCAAGTGCCGGCCCGTCCTAGCACACGTACAGTGAGTCACTCGCTGACTCGCAGGAGTGAACTGGTCAACCCCCCCATCCTGGAGGTCAGCTCCACTCACCAAGTTCGTAGAGAACGAGGGGAGGTAAAGACCTGACAGCGAGCCGGACGGGACGGCCGGACACGGCAGAACCGTGGAATAGTGGGCAAGGACTGGACCCCCAGAGGGGTCCGCCAGGGAGACCGGGACTGGCCGACGGAGCGGCGTAAGTGCGGTGCAGTCGCGAAAGAAGGAGCGGGAAGCTCCTGAGTCAAGGGTGAAGGTGTGCGAGACCGCAGTGGGCGCAGTACCAGAGAGAGCAGACACAGCAGCACCTGATGCCACGGCCTCACCAGTACCTAGAGCAGTAGACGTACTAGCACCGAGAGCAGCAGCCTCACCAGCACCTAGAGCAGGAGACGCACTAGCACCTAGGGCAGCAGCCTCACCAGGGTCAGGCGGTACGCACAGGCAACAGGCACGGTCAGCACTAGTAGACAATGCATACATGGCAGTGAGAATAGCATCATAGTCAAGCGCAAAGATATCTACCCTCTGTCTATGCAGCTCCAGCCACGTGGGGAGCTCAGCCTCGTCGCCAAACACTGTGCGCCAGTCGTCGCTCAGACGGGCGAAGCAGCGGGACTGTGTGTGACCAAGCGTCCCACAAGGCTGACCAGTCCTAGCACCTGTGCGAATGACGTACGGGCAGCGGACTGTACGCGTAGACCTGCTACACTGAGCGTACCACTCCTGGAGCTGCCGGGGCGTAAGTGTCTCACGTGGACGTCCCTGCAGCTGCAGCTGGCCACTGCCAGACGCTCCCAACTGACCAGCTCCAGGGCGACAGCTACGACGGCTACCGCGACAACCCCAGCTAGTATACCACTCACTAAGCTGCTGAGGCGTCAGAGGCTCGCGTGAATGTCGCTGGAGCTGCATCTGGCCACCTGCCAGTAGCAGTAGCGCAGGAAAGGCAGGCGCGGCAGGCAGGCAAGCAAGCAGGCAGGCAGGCAGGCCGGCAGGTAGGCAGGCAGCCAGGCAGGCAGGCAGGCAGGCAGACAGGCAGGCAGGTAGGCAGGCAGGCAGGCAGGCAAGTAGACACGCAGGCAGACAGGCAGGCAGGCAGGCAGGCCGGCAGGCAGGCAGGCAGCCAGGCCGGCAGGCAGGCAGGCAGACAGGCAGGCCGTCAGGCAGGCAGGCAGGCGCTCACCAAAGGCTGGGAGAGCAGGGCCGGCGCTCGAGTAGGCGCACGACAGCGGCGACGTCGGGGCCGCAAAACCGGCTGCAGAGCAGGGCCGAAACAGCTGGAGGGCGCTGCCGCGTCAGCGGCAGTAGCAGGGTGGGGCCGCGTCAGCGGCAGGTCGGGGTCGTGGCAGCTGCAGGGCGGGGCCGCATCAGCGGCAGGTCGGGGCCATGGCAGCTGCTGGGCGGGGCCGCATCAGCGGCAGGTCGGGGCCGAGGCAAAGGGCCGCGCGCGGCCGCGCTAGGGAGTAGCGGGCCGCGCGCGGCTCGGCGCGGGCTGTTGCGGGCCGCGCGCGGGCCGTGCGAGGCAGGAGCAGGCCTCGCGCGGCTCGGCACGAGCTGCTGCGGGCCGCGCGCGGGCTGCGCGAGGCCGTAGCAGGCCGCGCGCGGCTCGACGCGGGCTGCGCGGGCTCGGCGCGGGCTGCGCGCGGCAGCTGCGAGCTGCGCGCGGCTCGGTGCGGGCTGCGCGCGGTTGCAGCGGGCTGTGCGCGGCTCGGTGCAGGCTGCGCGCGGCTGCAGCGGGCTGCGCGCGGCTCGGTGCGGGCTGCGCGTGGCTGCAGCGGGCTGCGCGCGACTCGGGGCGGGCTGCGCGATCTCGGTGCGGGCAGCGCGCGGTAGCAGCGTGTGTGCGGGCCCGACAGGCGTGTAGAGGCGGCGCGCGGGCCTTACGGGCCTCTAGGGGAAGCGCGCAGGCAAGGCAAGGCAAGGCAAGGCTACGTGGGGTAGCGCGGTAACCGCAGCGGTAGGTGGGCCCGAAAAAAAACGGTCCTACGGACCTTAGTGCTCTGAAACCATGTTAGAATCTAGCAGCAGGAATGGATGAACTAACAGGATGCAGGAGTACAAGTAGTAAACCCTAACTAGGTTGTACCCCATATGGGCTACCCCACTACAGCCTAGACAATATGCAGCACATATAGTTTGACACAGTGTACATAACCCAAAGAAACAGCATTGGATGTGCTCCAACAGCGTTGAATGTACATTCCAACATACTCAAGTGAAGAAATTCGTTTCATGTCAAAATGCTGTACAGTTATAAACTCTGAAGTGCCTCTGGCAAAATGTTCACACAGCAGTGGCGAGTGGCCCTGTATCGGTTATAAAATGGCGGTTTGGGCATCACCTAGGAGTTGTCAAGTTAGACTGGGCTTTCTGCCTGGTGCGAACGAGTCAGTCTGCTCAAAGGTGCCATGTTGCTGAGGTATGAGTCTCGTATCGCGTCGAAACCGGAGCGTCGGTGGTGTCTCGACGGCATTTAGAGGCTGTGTCTGTTGGCGCGTCATTTTGGACCGAACCGCCTGACGACCTCGAAAAAGGAGGTTCGGTAACTCGGAGTTTTCTAGAGGTTGTGATTGAGGGTGTTTGCGTGTCGTTTTCCTGAGTAGCGAATGGCGTAGCCACCTGCTTGAGCGCCTCGGGAATGTCGTAGCGAATGGCGTTGAACGGAATGCTCATATCGTCGCTGTAGATCCGACGCGCCCGCTCCAGCGAATCCTGAACAGGAGAGGAAATGCGAGTGGAGGAGAGGGAGAGATTACGAAGCAAACACCTCTGCTTCTAACAAAGAATAGTAGGTTAATGCTTACCAGCACTGAGCATTCACCGTATCGAGCATATGGCGACACTGAGATGAGAACTCACCTTATCGTACAACTGGGCGGAGCGCTGGTCTGCGCCTGTGAGCTGGAGGGACTTTCCCTTCTGGAATATTCCGAGATCTGACGTGTTGAGCTGACGCATCACTGCTGCCACGTCAGCGGTCATGTTCTCAAAGCGACCTACAAAGTCGTAATGCACGCTATCCAACGCACAGAGGTCGACCTGCGGGGACGAGGGAGCGGGGAGAAAGATGAGAAAAGTCCGTTCAGTAAGAGAACCACGTAGTCGAAGTGTATGGTATCTGAAACACAGAGGTCGATCTGCAAGGAGGGAAAGGGGGAGAGAGGAATGATTGGGTAGCTTGATTAGCTGGACTCAATAGGTCGGAATCAATGACCCAGCAAGCATGAGAGCAGTATGCCATTCATGCTTTGCAAATACCCACATGCATCATCATCTATCACAGCCACCCGAGAGCCTCACCTGCTTGTCAATGTGATTCTCGATCTTATCAGCATCCCCCTTAAGAGCCTCCTCCACAAGAACCAGAAACTCCGCAAACGAGAATTCACCCCTAGGATGCGATTTTAGCATCTTCTTGAGCTGCTTGGTCTTCCCAAACATGGCGTCCGCCCAGTACAGCCGCGCATCCCCCTCATTGGTGAAGTTCCGCGCATGCACAAACTTGTCGAGGAACGCTGACGTGGCGCGCGTGAGGGGGTTGCGCACGAACGTGAATCGGAACACGTCGCGCTGAGTGATGAACCGAATGGCTGCTTCCTCGCCCAACTCTGGTAGCTCTGTGATTCCGTTCTCTCTAGGCAGGTGAATCATCTTGAAATCCTCTGTTGTAATACTCAAAGCTGCTGGCTCTGCCGCTGCTGCTGCTGTCCCTTGTGCTGTTCCCTCGGCTGCGGCTGTTCCTGCTGCCGCATCCCCTCCAGCATCTGCTGCTGCAGTCCCATTGGTAGATTTCGCCTCTTCTGAGGGTTTCTTGCCAAAAGAGTGGAAAGCGGAGTAGTTTCCGTGAAGCTTCATGAGGCGGAACCAGAGCTTCCAGCTCGTATTGCCCACCTTGGGCAAAGCGCAGTACAGGGCTTTAAGGGATTCTGAGGTGGGGAGGGGAAGGAAGAATGGAGGGGATAGAGAAAGAGAGTTTGTTATAGTGAAAATGAGAGCGCAGTAGAGGGCTTTGAGGGACTCTCGGAGTGGAGAGGAGAGGGGAGAGGGGTAGAACAGAAAGAACAAATTTTCCCACTTTGGGCAGGGCGCATTACAGGGCTTTGAGGGACCCGGGGGGGGGGGGGGGGGGGGGGGGGGGGGTTGAGGGGAGGGGAGTGGGGGAGACAGAGGAGCGTAAGAACAGGAGGGCCTGATTCAAAAATCAAGTTTTTTCCATCAGAGCACACTGTTAGAGTGTTTTAGGAGGGCGGAGACTAGAGAGCATTGGAGGACAGTGCAGGGCATTGCAGGGCACGTTAACAATGTACTCCCCATTCACTCACCATCAGCTCCCCACCACCATCCACTCACCTTCCACAATTAAGTGTGGGTGAATCAGATTGCCTACTTTCAAGCACCTCAATGCACACACTCCCCTCACTCTCCATCCACCCACCATCCAATCACCATCCACTCCCCACCTATCACCATGCACTCACCATCAACGATCATGTGTTGGGCGAATTTATTCTCCAAGAGCGGTTTCGGGCATGCAGAGGCACACAGCGATGGCTGCACGACGCTAAAATCTCCCTGCAGCCCTCGGGATTGCCGCGTTGACCCGCGTGCCACAACGAAAGTGAAAGCGGGCGACTTGTGAGTGAAGATGAGTGAAGGGGCGTCTGCCAGCAGGAATAGATCTGCTAGCTGGGATGGGGATTGGGTGGGCGGAGGGAGGGGAGGGGAGTGGACAACTTGAGTGTGCCTGCCAACCATCGGGATCGCCGCGTTGACCCGCGCGCCACAACGAAAGTGAAGGCAGGCGACTTGTGAGTGAAGATAAGTGAAGAGGCGTCTGCCAGCAGGAATAGATCAGCTAGCTGGGATGGGGATTGAGGAGGGAGGGGTCAAGGAATGGGAGGGGAAGGAAAGCAGCAAATGAGAAGGCGGGGGATTTGTGAGTGAAGATGAGTGAAGGGGCGTCTGCCAGCAGGAAGAGATCTGCTAGCTGGGATGGGGATTGGGAGGGAGGGGAGGGGAGCTTGAGGACAGCTTGAGCGTGCCTGCCAAACATCGGGATTGCCGGGATGACCCGCGCGCCACAAGGAAGGTGAAGGCAGGCGACATGTGAGTGGGTAGCAGAGTTCTGCTAGCTGGGATGGAAAGAAGGGAAGAGAATGGGGGATTGGTGGTGTGAGGAGAGAAAGGTGCGTGTGGGGAAGCAGGGGGGCGCGAGTGGGGTGGAAAGTGGAGGGGACGGAACGGACGTGCAGGTAAGGGGAGGGGAGGTGGCGACTTTTGAGACGTCTCAAAAGTCACGGGTGGGGTGGAAAGTGGAGGGTACGGAAGGGACGTGCAGGTAAGGAGCGCGGTTGGGGTGGAATGGAATGGAAGAAGGGCCTTACGAGTCGTTGGTAGCAAGGTGTGGCAATGTCCGCACTCCCCACCCCTCCTTCCCCACAGTGCTCCGCCCTCCATGCAGCAGCGTGGGACAGCAGGGTGCCAGGGGGTGCGGTTGGGGTGGAATGGAATAGAGGAAGGGCCTTACCAGTCGTTGGTAACAAGGTGTGACAATGTCCGCCCGCACTCCCTGCTGAACGCCCCCTGCAGCCCTCGGGATTGTTTTGTTTTAGTCGACTCAAAAGTCCCCATCCCTCCTGCCTTACCAGTCGCTGATAGCAAGCTGTGGCAATGTCCGCACTCCCTGCCCATCTTTCCCCGCAGTGCTCTGCCCGCCATGCAGCGGCGTGGGGCAGCAGGGGGGCGCGGTTGCGGTGGAAGGCGGAGGCGACGGAGTGGGCGGGCAGGGGAGGGGAGGCAGCGGCAAGAAGATAGGGAGGGAATTTTAGAGGCAGGAGCTTACCAGTCGTTGATAGCAAGGTGTGGCAACGCCTACACTCCCTCTTTCCCCGCAGTGCTCTGCCCGCCATGCAGCAGTGTGGGGCAGCAGGGGGGTGCGGTTGGGGTGGAAGGCGGAGTACACGGAGTGGGCGGGCAGGGGAGGGGAGGCAGCAGCGATAGTGAAATCGAGGGAGGGATGGCGGAGGAAGAGGGAGGTGAGATTGCGGATGAGACACGTGGGGAGGAGCTTGGCGTTGGGGCATGGGGGGGCGGAGGCGGCTCCTGAAGACTTTGGGTCCTGATTGGGGGTGGAGGGCGCGGGGAGGTAATGGGGAGAAATGGGAGGACCAACAGAGGGAAAAGAGGAAGGTAGAGAGGTGAGAATGCGCGAGTGCGAGAGTGGAGTCGAGGGAGGGGTGGCGGAGGAAGAGGGCTGAGGTTGAGGATGAGGCACGTGGGGAGGAGCTTGGCGTTGGGGCAGGCAGAGGCAACACCTGTGGCTCCAGACTGTTTGGGGTCCTGATGGGGGCGGGCAGGGGAGGGGAGGGCAGGGCAGGGGAGGGCAGGGCAGGGGAGGGCAGGGCAGGGGAGGGCAGGGCAGGGGAGGGCAGGGCAGGGGAGGGCAGGGCAGGGGAGGGCAGGGCAGGGGAGGGCAGGGCAGGGGAGGGCAGGGCAGGGGAGGGCAGGGCAGGGGAGGGCAGGGCAGGGGAGGGGAGGCGGCGGCATGAGTGAAATCGAGAGAGGGGTGGCGGAGGAAGAGGGAGGTGAGATTGCGGATGAGACACGTGGGGAGGAGCTTGGCGTTGAGGACATGGTGGCTTCAGCAGCTCTGTGTGTGTGTGGGGGGGGGGGGAGGGAGGGGGGGGGGGCGCGCGCGCCATACCACGTGCTACCATTCCCCCCACGGTCTACCCCTCACTCACCTCACCTCCAGCAGCACTCCGGTCGTTGCCCTCAGTCGCCCCACATCCTCCCCATCCACCATCGCCCGCACTGCTGCTGCTGGCTGCAGCAACTGTGTGTGTTTGCCATACCTTGTGCTACCATTCCCCCCATGCCCTACCATTCCCCCCATGCCCTACCACTCCCCCCATGCCCTACCATTCCCCCCATGCCCTACCACTCCCCCCATGCCCTACCATTCCCCCCATGCCCTACCATTCCCCCCATGACCTACCATTCCCCCCATGCCCTACCCCTCACTCACCTCGAGCAGCACTCCCGTTGAGGCCCTCACTCGCCCCACATCCTCCCCATACACATTGCCCGCACTGCCAATGATGGCTGCAGCAGCGGTGCAGCAGCGGTATGCACGCACCCATACCATGTGCTCCCAATCCCCCCCACCAGTCCACTCACCTCCAGCAGCACTCCCGTTGAGGCCCTCACTCGCCCCACATCCTCCCCATACACCATCGCCCGCACTGCCAAAGATGGTTCCAGCGACTGATAGCACCTCATGGTCTCGTCATACAGCCTACAAGGGCCGGTGGATGCCTGGTGGGAGGGGAGAGGAGGAGAGGGAGACAAACACAAGGATAGAGGGATGTGAAGTGGGTTGGTCGGAGTCGGGAGGACTGCCAATGATGGTTGCAGCGACTGATAGCACTTCATGGTCTCATCATACAGCCTACAAGGGCCGGTGGATGCCTGGTGGGGAGAGAGGGATAGAGGAAGGAAAGGCGGGAGAGGCACACAGACATAGTAAGGTACAAGGGAAGTGCTGCTGATGGTTGCAGCGACTGATAGCACCTCATGGTCTCATCATACAGCCGGCAGGGGCCGGTGGATGCCTGGAGGGAGGGGAGAGAGACACACACAGTAGAGTACAAGGGGAAGCGCAGTGCTGTGGAGAGGGACAGACATGCACACAGAGAGTAGAATACAAGGGTATGGCTGTTGGCGGCTGCGGCGACTGATAGCACCTCATGGTCTCGTCATAGAGCCTGCAGGGGCTGGTGGATGCCTGGAGGGAGAGCGGGACAGTGGGAGGAGAGGGAGGAGAGGGAGAGAGGAACGCACAGAGGGCACTGCCAATGATGGTTCCAGCGACTGAGAGCACTTTATTGTCTCATCATAGAGTCGGCAGGGGCCCGTGGATGCCTGGAAAGGAGGGGAGAGAGGGATAGAGATGGGTTTAAATATGAGGGGCACTGCTGCTGACTGATGGCTGGAGCGCCTGATAGCACCTCATGGTCTCGTCATACTGCCGGCAGGGGCCGGTGGATGCCCGGGGGGAGGGGAGAGAGAGAGGGATAGAGATGGGTTTAAATATGACTGACAGCAATTCATCGTCCCGTCATACAGCCTGCAGGGTCCTGCAGGTACTGACCATGGTTCGGGCGAGAGAGCGGGGGACATACACCTCCATGGGACCATCAGGGCTATATTCCTTCAGAGTCAACTCAAAAGCAGACTCACCACAATACGAATCCTGCCTCTGCTACTCACCATGGCCCGGGCAAGAGAGCGGGGAACATACACCTCCATGGGGAGCATGAGCGGGCTCCAGTCGTCCTGCTCTTCCTTCTCCCGACACTTGCGCTTCACCTGCCAAGCCAATAGCAGCACGCCACGTCACCATGTTACACAGCGGTGCAGCGACCACGTGAGTGCGTCTGCGTGATGCTGCTGGAGTGAAAAAAAAAAAACTCAAAATTCTCATAAACACTGCGTTTGAGATGTATGATGTGTGGATGCTTAAAGCCCACGCAAAGCTCTCAAACTTAAAGCCACAACATAAGTTCCAAAAAAACGTCTCGATGCTCAAAGCAGCTTAGAGCTTACAGGTGAGCAGCTTAGACCTTACAGGTGCAATACCAAAGTCTTCCGTCCTATCTCCCTGCTGCACCTGCAATCGCTCCCCCTCTGCCACCACCCCTGCAGGCAGCGACACACGCATCGCCAACCCCTTTTGGTGGCACCAGAGCTTACCGGATCAGAGCTTACCGGTGCAATCCCAAAGTCCTCCCTCCTATCTCCCTGCTGCACCTGCAATCGCTTCCCCCCTGCCACCACCCCTTCAGGCAGCGACACACGCATTGCCGCCCCTTTTGGCGGCAGCAGCAGCGCCGAGAAGGGCACTGGCGGGGTTTCTGTGGCTGCGGCTGTGGCTTCTTCGCGAGAGGCGGGAGGGGTTGTGTGCGGGCGCAGGTGCCAAAGCACACCTACGGTGATGTTGTGGAAGGTGGATAGGGCACTGGCCTGACACAGCCGCTGCAGGGCTAGAGGCAGCACGGACGTCTGTTGGTGGGCAGGGGGTTGAGAGGAGAGAACGAGGGAAAAAGGAGATAGTGTGTGGCCGCAGGTGCCACAGCACATCCACAGTGATGTTGTGGAAGGTGGATAGGGCACTGGCCTGGCACAGGCGTTGCAGGGCTAGAGGCAGCACGGACGTCTGTGGGCAGGGGGTAGGGGGCGTGGGGGAGGAGGAAAGAGGGGAGAGAGAGGAGGGGTGTTGTGGAGGGTGGATAGGGCTCCGCTCTGGCACAGCTGCTGCAGCTCTAGGGGGAGCACGGGCGTCTGTAGGGCAGGAGGTTGGGTTGAGAGAATGGGGGACTGGGGGAAGGGGGGAGAGGGGCAGCAGCACACACACACCCGCTTTGCACTTGCGTGCACACACCCACGCACACATGTTTGATCAACTCCCACCTTGATATGCACCATGGCCTGCACACCATCCCAGCTGCAGGAATCCCCCCTCCACACACACACACACACACACACACACATGCACGCATGCACGCACGCTCGCACACACACAAAGAGAACTGGCGCGCACCTTGATATGTACGATGGGCTGCACACCATCCCAGCTCGCCTCCCCTCTGCTCAGTACAACAATGTGAGGTCTCCCTCCTTCCCCCCCTACACACACCAAGCGAAATGACGCGCACCTTGATATGTACGATGGCCTGAACACCATCCCAGCTCGCCTCCTCTTCTGTTGGTGCGACTTTGAGAATTCTCAAAAGTCAGATCAACGCTCACCTTGATATGCACGATGGCCTGCACACCATCCCAGCTCGCCTCCTCTTCAGCCGAGGTCGCTTCTGCTGCGCCTGTAGCACTTGTTGCTGTTGCTGCTGCTTCTCCAGCTGCTTCTCCTGCTGCTGCCGTTTCTCCTCCTGATGTTGCCTTTTCTCCTGCTGATTCTGTTTGTCCTGCTGTTGTTGTTTCTCCTGTTACTACTGTTTCTCCTGTTGCCACTGCTTCTCCCCCTGTTGCTGCTTCTCCCCTGTTGCTGCTTCTCCCCCTGTTGCTGCTTCTCCCCCTGTTGCTGCTTCTCCTCCTGCTGCTGCTGGCTGTAGGGGGGCCGACGGCACAGCCTGCGCCGTTAGCACAGCTGCAACCAAATCCCCCGAAGAAGGTTGATTGTCACCGATACTCCCTGCATTCCCTCTTCCGTCGTCCTCCGTGCTCCCGCTGTTATTGCTGCTACTGCCGCCGCTGCTACCGTCGCTACCATCGTCGCTGCTACTGCTGCTGCTTGAGCTACTATCGTTTCGGCTGCTCAAAACACCGCCTTCCGTGGCGCTGCTACTACCGAAACTGCTATTAACGGGGCCTACGGCGTCTGCGCCTGCGACGCTGTTTCCCAGCGCGGCATTGGGTTGCCTGGATCCCAGTCCTAATAACAACGGGCCCTGGGAAAGGTCTTGCGGGAGAAAAGCAGTATGAGAGTCACCTCCGGTAAGAGTGTTACTGCCTGTAACAATGTTAATGCTCGTAACAGTGTTACCCGTCGGCGGTGGATCCGTATCAATGGTTGTGAGAGTGGATTCTTGGTGCAGCGGTGGCGGAAGGGAGAGCACGAGTGCTAAGCTGACAGCCGACATGAGTATGCTGACGCACGTCAGCAGCAGCACTATCGAGTGGCTGTGTATCAGCGACGCGACGGACGGCGCCGACGGCGGCGCTGAACCCGCGCCGCCGCCGCCGCCACCGCCGCCGCCGCCGCAGACGGCGGAAGATGCGGCGGAGGAGCCCCCGCCGAATAAGGGCGGTGAGGAAGAGGATGCGAGCTTTTCTCGTAACGAGTCTTTGTAAGACGAGATGCAGCCTGCTAAACCGCCTACCACGGCGTGAAAGTGAGATTCTACGGTCTGCCAATCCGGAACTTGCAGGTGAGTCACCAACTTCGGATTTAATATGCTAGGAACTTCCACGCAATGCCGCTGCGTTGCCGCCATGGCTCCAGGTTGCGGTATTGGGGGGACTTTTGCCGGCCGCGCCGGTTTTATCGAATCTAACACGCAGTCGTGACTATCCGTTAACGAGTCTTCCAATAATCTCCGATGGACCGTGCTGCTGAAGCTGTCGGCGGTGGCAGCGCCGCGATCGTCGGCGCCGCATGTTGCGGCGTCATTCGCGCGGGGCTCATGGTTGCTCGAGGTAGCAATGTTCAAGGCGGGAACATGGCAGCACGGGCTTTCGCGAGTCTGACAGCTCATTTTGCGGGTTTGACAACACCGACCATCACCTTCACCGCCGTAATCGCCGCTGCCGCGAAATCCCGGCCTACGCTAAATCTACTATCAGAGTCCGAGTCGCGTCTGTATCAGACACGACACGTCACACGACATGACACCACACCAGGTCGCATCGGGGCAGCCAGCCAGCCAGTCCCTCGCTCCTCCCCACAGTCCCACCTGCCATCACCTCCTCGACCCACCCCACAACCACCTCACCGACCAGAACAGTCGGGCGCGTGATATTGTTACGGTGAAATGGGATGCTGTGCATGTCGGGGAGGCTTGCGTACGGTTCTTTGCGTTTGGGTCGGTTGTTCATAATGACACCCAAAATGACACCTCCCGACAACGACAAATAAGCAAAAGCTCAACTGGCACAACTCCTCGGAAACATTTCGATTCAACAAGTACTAGCTGTAGTACCCTCGGCAGACATTCTCTTTCTCAACAATTCGAAGAAGCTCGTAACGGCGCAAACCGCGCTTGGGCAAGCTACAGTAATGTAGCTCCCAAGAGAGCAAGGCGTGCAGCAGCATAAGTCATCAGTAGAAGCAAAATAGGTATTCGAGGAAACGCAAGGATTTCGAGGATTTATAGGGCCCACTAGGCAGTCTTCATACACACGTACTATTCGAGCGCTCACCGCCACGCTCTGATACATTCGTGAGCGCGATGCGGAAGAGTAGCCATGCATGGAACATTGCTCCGCAGGGAGGCTTCCTAGTCATCCTCTCCGTGCTTCCCTGGCTGTACGTCGCTTTTGACTTCATCGGGAACTGCCACCATGGCCCATCCGCGGAGCACGAGGTCTGAAGTTCTTTATCAAATTAGTAGCATTCGTGCATTTTCGGCACGTCTCTTCTCTAGAGCACATTCGTGTATTTTCAGCGCGTTTCGTCCATGCTTGTTTCGACGATTTTCACCATGGTCCCCGTGAATCTAGGCTGTCGAGCAGCTAGGAGCATTCAGATAGATGATGCATTATGCTATCTGCTCATGTTAGCATCGCTAGTATGTCGCTTGAGAACTTACATGAAACTCCTACCACCGTCTGTAAATCCCGGCGATCTAACACCGTTTGAACCGTCCACCCCCTTCCTTCCGCAGATGTACCTATCTCGACTGCAGCCCATCACCCCATTCGAACAAATCCTCGATAATGTCACATCCGATAAACGTGCGAGCCACTACGGCGCGTTCTACAGCCTGTATCTCGACCCCTTACGCCGGCCGCAACTAACCCGTGGTGACGATCGGCTTCCAGTCTGGGAAAACCAGGAGGTTAACTTGCTGACGGTCGGTCGCGCGTACGGCGACTCGCTGCAGCTTTGGAAGCGGGCATTCCCGAGGGGTGTTATCTACGGCATTGCAAATGACACCACCTCCTCCTTGATGGTACGTCCACTGTGACTTTGAGTCGACCCAAACGTCACCTCGGAAAAAAATGATTGAAGAGAGTTACTTCAAATGATTGTATAATGCCGCGTGTGATTGTTTACGTACCTGTCTCTTTGCGAGCTCGGGTGCTCCTTATTTCATCGGAGAATGTGACTAAGCTGCAGCTACATAGTGCTGGTGGCTGGCTGGGTTGGGTTTCATTCGATGGTAGTCATAAGTGCTGGGCAGCGCAATGGAAGGCCACTTTTTCTTTTGTTTTCTTGATGGCTGTTTGTTTTGCTCCATTTTTTATTTCTTGCCCTTTTTCTTTCTTTGGGTCCTGAAAGTTCTCGTTTGGAACCCTTGTTTGTGTGACCCCAGCTCCAGGCAGCGGCAAGGGACCCGCGGGTGCGGCTGATGGTGGGCGACCAGGCGAATGGGAATTTCTTGCAGCAAGCGGTTTCTAAGATTAAGAATGAGGTGAGGAGTGGTAGCGACGTGGGATGGTACAGCGTGGTTCAGGGTGAGGTGGGGTTATTATGAGTGTGTTTTTGGAAATGAGGTGTTTTTTAGTGTGTGCCATGCATGAACTCTCGACAGTATCTTGAAATTCTGTTTTTGCAATGCCAGCTTTGCATAAACTTGATTACTGCTAGTCTTCTGAAATGTCCTTGCTTTTATTCCTGTTATGATCAGTGTTTTTGTATCATCGACATCCTTATTGTTGTATTGCCTCCTTCCTTGTTATTGTGTTGTGACTCGTTGACGTCAGGTGGGCCTGCTTGACTTCATAGTGGACGATGGTAGTCACACCATCAATCAGCAACAGACATCCCTCAAACACCTCCTTCCGCTCGTCAAGGTACCTGCTGCCAGTGGTCAAGGTACCTACTGCCACTGGTCAAGGTACCTGTTGCTGCTGACACTGCTTTTCGTCAATTTTCTCTCATCAGCATCCATGCTCGTTATTTCAGTCTTTATCAATGAGCTCTGCTTCTTGACTCTCCTACGGCTCACTGGATATCTCCATCCCTTCATGTCATCCCCCTCTGTCCATACCGTCTTGATCCTGCTTACACTAATTGCTCCCTTTCTTTCCCTTTCATTATCCTTCGGCCTTCTTTCTCTTTCTTTCCTTTCTTACTCTCTTTTCTCTCCGTCTCATTTCCTCCCCTCCTGCCTCCCACCCCTGATACACCCACAACTAATCTTGCTGTTCCAGCCTGGTGGAACCTACTTTATTGAGAATGTGGAGACATCTTATAAGGAAGGCATTTCTGAAGCGGACGCCACTATGCACGTTATGCAGTCGCTCTTAGACGCGATGAACAAGGAGTTTTTCGAGAAGCAGCCGTATTTCAAGAGCATGGCGCATGGGAAGTTCTATGCAACTCCGGTGGAGAATTTGGTGGGGTCTGTGCACTGCATGAGGAACATGTGTGCACTTCGCCGCAAGTCTAGCCACTGGTAATAGTAACACCTACGGTAGGACTAGTGTTAGCATAATTTTATTTCACCCTGATTTTCCAAAGCTCAGCAGCATTATGAACATCACTGTTGAGGGGTGATTTCCAGCTTGTGGTGAAGCTACTGGTGTATCAACTTACGGTAGTTATATTTGCAAACATCACTTACCATGTAGAGTTGTGATAGGCAGGTGTATTCAGCTTCTAGACATGCAAGGCTTTTAGTACGTGTATAGTCCTATGGTATCGGTCATTAGAATATATTTCTTCTAGTAATGTAGCGCACAGTATTGGAGTCCTCTGGGATTTTGCCTCCAGCTATCTCGTACAACCGAAGGTGCTAGCCAAAGCTCGCTCCTATCTATCTCATCTAGAGCTGAGAGCTCACAAAGCAAGTTGTGTGTCAGTCAGATCACAGCGTTCTAATCGGTGCTGCGGCGAGCCATTCCTGGGTGGGAAATAAGTGGAATCCCGTACAAGAATTGGGATACATTTACTAACAGGGTCGCAACCCGCTAGCATTCTCAGAGCTGCATTGTTCCTGCGCGTGCAAGAACTGGGATACATTCACTAACAGGATCGCAAACGCTAGCAGTTCTAGTCGGTCGGGAGGATGGGGAAGGGTGTCGACTCGAAATCTGCTATACCGTCAAGAGGCGTCCTATTCGTTGTATACCTCCTCCCGTGGGCGTATATCGCGTATAACCTTATCCAGAACTGCCACGACACATCAGAGGTAATGTGATGCACAGTCGTACTGAATGCAACAATGTCGTTCGTGAGCAGAGCTTTAAAGCTACCTCACTGACAGCCTGTCAGTCCTATTAATCTGCAACCCAGCCTTAACCATCATGGCGAAAACTCGAATGTGCTTGATGGTCTCTCGATTGCTTTCGTAGTCGCTCTCGCTCGTTGTTAGCAGTAACATCGTGCATTCCCGAACCGTTTGCGTGCCCCCTTCACCTTGGTTTTCTCCATTGAAGTAACTCCTGTAAATCTTCCAAGTGAATAAAGAACACGTCTCTCCTTCGCCTTGGTTTCCTGCCGTTCCTCTCGCAGGGATTCATCTCCTTCGAAGCGATCGTCAACCAAGGCACGTCCGATAAGCGCACGCATCACTACGGCGCATTCTACAGCCTCTACCTCGACCCCATGCGCCTGCCGCTGCAGCCCCAAACTCCCGGCGATTGCCAGCAGCCTCAGCTAGGCGAGGACCACACTCGCGGCGAGGCTGAGCAGACCACGGACCGCCGTCGATTGGAGCAGAATCAACGGACGCGATTGGAGGAAGCGCAGCAGCAGCAGCAGCAGCAGCCGTGGGAGCCCCGCGCGGTGAACATGCTGGAGATCGGGCTCAAGTACGGCGACTCGCTGAAGCTGTGGAAGCGGGCGTTTCCAAAAGGAAGGATCTACGGCATTGACAACGAGATGATTTCCAAGGTAAGCCCGAGGGAGCCGCGCGCGGTGAACATGCTGGAGGTCGGGCTCAAATACGGCGACTCGCTCAAGCTGTGGAAGCGTGCATTCCCGAGAGGCAAGATCTACGGAATCGACAATGAGTTGATTTCCAAGGTAAGCTTGGGGCTTCCCGAGGGTGCCGAGGGCCGCGAGGGTGCAGAGGGTCGCGAGGTTGCAGAGGGTCGCGAGGGTCCCCAGGCGAACATGCTGGAGATTAGTCTCAAATACGGCGACTCGCTCAAGCTGTGGAAGAGAGCTTTTCCGAGGGGCAGGACCTACGGCATTGAGAGACGATCTCATAGGTAAGCCGTGGCGGCAGGGTTGCTGTAGGTCCGCTCGCCATATTTGTGGGATTACGAAGGTAAGCCGTTTCGTATGCCCTCACGTGCCTCCCCTACCCAATGTCCATGTCTGCTTTAACTCCATCCCCTATTTCGTTTGCCTCTCATCTCACCTCTGCAGAAGCACCAGGCAGAGGGGTGCGGCTGATGGCTTCCCTTACCCCCTCCTGTGTCCCATCTCTGTTCGTTACTTAGGGCGTGTTACATTTTTTAGTTCAGCCCGTACGGACGGGCCGTCGTCCGGACGTTTTTGTGGTTACCAGTCTCGCCTTTATTCGCATATTTCTTCGTAAGGTTAGTTGCGACGTCGTTAACGATCGGACTGCTGATGAAACATTTTGCGTCAAATTGCCTTCTCAAATCGACCGGACGTTACCGTTCAGTAAGTGGACGGACGTCGCTCTATTGCAATTTTATTGGTTGACGAGCTTTTTTCTTAGAATCGCCCGGCTGTTACCTCTATCGTCACGACGTCGTAATCAAGGTTACAACCTCGTAAATACGATTAATTTCGTAAGCCTGAAAATGTTCCTTAAACAGCGTCGGACGAGGCTTAGTCCGGACGCTGGACTCGGACAGTCAGATGTTCGGAATCTGAACCGTTTTCAGACGGTTGTCCGGACATTTACGGATTTAAAAAAAAATGTAACATGCCGTTATGCCTCTCCCCTCTCATCTCCACAGAAGCACCAGGCAGAGGGGTGCGGCTGATGGCTTCCTTACCCCCTCCTGTGCCCCATCCCTGTTCCTAACTTATGCCACTCCCCTCTCATCTCCACAGAAGCACCAGACAGAGGGGTGCGGCTGATGGCTTCCTTACCCCCTCCTGTGCCCCATCCCTGTTCCTAACTTATGCCACTCAACTCTCATCTCCACAGAAGCACCAGGCAGAGGGGTGCGGCTGATGGCTTCCTTACCCCCTCCTGTGCCCCATCCCTGTTCCTAACTTATGCCACTCCCCTCTCATCTCCACAGAAGCACCAGACAGAGGGGTGCGGCTGATGGCTTCCTTACCCCCTCCTGTGCCCCATCCCTGTTCCTAACTTATGCCACTCCCCTCTCATCTCCACAGAAGCACCAGGCAGAGGGGTGCGGCTGATGGCTTCCTTACCCCCTCCTGTGCCCCATCCCTGTTCCTAACTTATGCCACTCCCCTCTCATCTCCACAGAAGCACCAGGCAGAGGCACGGGACCTCCGGGTGCGGCTGATGGCTTCTCTTCCCTCCCTCCTTTGCGCCATCCTTGTTCCTGTCTTGTGCCCCTCCCTCTCGCCTTTGCAGAAGCACCTGGCAGAGGCACGGGGCCTCTGGGTGCGGCTGATGGCTTCCCTTGGCCGCTCCTTTGCGCCATCAATGCTCCTGAATTATGCCCCTCCCTTTTCCAGTCTGCAGACGCACCGGGCAGAGGCGCGGGACCCGCGGGTGCGGCTGATGGTGCCTTCTCCGTCTCTCTTGACCATGTCTATCTTACACCACCCATCCCTCCGTGTCTGTCGCAAACCCATCCCCTGTCCTCTTCCCTTTGCTTCTCCCCTCCACAGAAGCACCAGGCAGAGGCGCGGGACCCGCGGGTGCGGCTGATGGTGGGCGACCAGGCGAATGGGACGTTCCTGGAGCAAGTGGTGGCCGAGATAAAGAGTGCGGTGAGGAGTGGTGGCCGAGATAAAGAGTGCGGTGAGGAGTGGTGGCTGAGATAAAGAGTGTGGTGAGGAGTGGTGGCTGAGATAAAGAGTGCGGTGAGGAGTGGTGGCTGAGGTAAAGAGTGTGGTGAGGAGTGGTGGCTGAGATAAAGAGTGTGGTGAGGAGTGGTGGCTGAGATAAAGAGTGTGGTGAGGAGCGGTGGCTGAGATAAAGAGTGTGGTGAGGTGTGGTGGCTGAGATAAAGAGTGTGGTGAGGTGTGGTGGCTGAGATAAAGAGTGTGGTGAGGTGTGGTGGCTGGCATGCTGTTGAGTGCAATGTGGTGAGGGGAGGGGATGGGTTGGGATGGGATGGGATGGGATGGGATGGGTTGGGATGGGATGGGATGGGATGGGATGGGATGGGATGAGATGGGGGTTGGAATGGGATGCGATATCTTATTCATGTGATACTGCGAAAATGCCTCCGAAAAACCACATCCCACGGAAGTCCGTCTCAGAGCTTAGCAGTGGCATGGGAAGGAAATAACCACATCCGAGGTGGAACATGCCTTGGAACGGCATGCGTTTGTATGGCAGAAAATGGCATTTGTTTGAATGGCATTGGAATGGCATGCGTTTGAATGGCAGTGGAATGGCATGCGTTCGAATGGCAGAGAAATGGCATGCGTTTGTATGGCAGAGAAATGGCATGCGTTCGAACGGCAGAAAATGGTGTGTGTTCGATTGGTAGAAGTTGGCATGTATTCGAATGGCTGTTTACCTGAACTTCTTTTCTTGGCTCCCCCTGTCCTCGTTATTGAGTTGTGACTCGTTTCAGGTGGGTCTGCTTGACTTCATAGTGGACGATGGTGGTCACACCATGGATCAGCAACAGACATCCCTCAAACACCTCATGCCGCTGGTCAAGGTAATTGTTTTGCTGCTGCTAGTCAACTCACCTGCTGCTAGTCAACGCACCTGCTGCTATTCAACGCACCTGCTGCTAGTCAACACACCTGCTGTCTGACGAATGTATACCACCCCTGTGTCCTAGTTCGGTTCGTTTTGAAACCAAAGGGTAACCATTTTTCCTCCTCCATCTTTCCTCCCCCTCCCCCTCCCCCTCCCCCTCCCCACTCCATCTCGTTCTCCTTCATACTGACGTGGTTTCCAGTCCAGTTTCAATGAAATCTATGGCCCAGGTTTTTTTTTACCACTTTCCTCCCTCCTTCCCACCCTCTTACTCCCTCCAATGTTTTTTCCCAGCCCGGTGGAATATATTTTATAGAGGATCTCGAGACGTCGTACTACACTAAATGCCACATTACAGGGTGTTACGAAGGAGGCCCCCCTGGTCTCAACACCACAACAATACACGTTCTCAAGATGCTTATGAACGTGGTAAACCGTGACTTTATCAAGAAGCAGGCTTATAAGAATAGGGGCTCAAGTGAGGAATTTTACACGACTCCTGTAGAGGATTTGGTGGGCGCAGTACACTGCATGAGGAACATTTGTGCACTCAGGCGGAAATCGAGTCCTTGGTATTAGCAAGTGCAGGATATCAAACTGTTTTTGTTACCATTTGTTTTGATACCTTTCTGGTTAGTTTTCTGGGTTGTTGAGCAATTGTGTCCAAACGGAGGGATTGTGCCAGCCACACACTACTGCTTGTTTAGCTTGGTAAGCAGCATGCTGTGCTGTGTGCTTGAGCAGCAAAGAATGTTCAACTTGTGCCAGCTGCTACCGTATGCCTCCCCTTACACCATCCATACCGATTCAGCAGACAACGTAGGACTACTAGGTGAGGCAAACAGAGTACACACAGGTAGGTCTAGGTTTCATAAAAACACCATGCGGGCTTCTAGAAAGCTCTACACCTCAAACGACTAAAACCATCGACTAGATTTGCGCCTAAGCGCACATATATTGCGCATGCAGTGTACTGCCCCCACCAACTCCTCCACTGGGGTTGCATAAAATTCTGGGCGCATTACATTCCTGTAGTACGCCTGCTTCTGAAAGAACTCCTTATTCATCACATCTATAAGCTCTTTCATCACGTGTATGGTTGTAGAGTTGAGGCCAGGGGGACCGCCCCTGTAACACCCTGTAACGTGGCACTTGGTGTAGTAAGATGTCTCCACATCCTCGATAAAGTACATCCCTCCAGGCTGTTTAGTTTGAATTAGGGTGGGGTGCAAAGAAAGGTGGGAAAGGGAAAGCCAGCTCATTTGAACATCTCCCCATCCTTCATAATATACATCCCTCCCAGCTGATAAGATCCCATAAAAGATAAGAGGCAAAGGGAGGTGAAATGACATGGAAGGAAACAAGAGGGGAGCCTGAAAAGGATGGGGGCAGAAGGAGGTGGGGATGAGAAAGGTGGCCTCAGGCTGTTTCAGCATCCCTGTTTCCATGCTGGAAGGGGAGTGTATGGGGGGGAATGCAACGGGATGTGGGAAAGTTACTTTTAAAATTTCCTAGATGTTACGTCTGAGAATTCTCAGAAGAGGAACGTACGGCGCAACGGGATGTGGAAGGTTACTTTTGAGAATCCTTATATGTTACTTCCAAGAATCCCCAGAAGAGGTGTACAGGGGGAGATTGCAATGGGCCATGAGAAAAGCACTGGTACAGGGAACTGGGAGGAGAATGAATATGGTACATTTTTATGTACTGCAGAGGGGAGAAAAGGGGTAATAGTTGCAGGTGAGGTTAATTAATCTCAGTGAATGAAGGTGTTTGCAAAGGTACCTTGACGAGTGGCATGAGGTGTTTGAGGGATGTCTGTTGCTGATCCATGGTGTGACCACCATCGTCCACTATGAAGTCAAGCAGACCCACCTGACACGAGTCAAGGCAATAATAAGAAAGGAGTCACATCACAATAACGAGAAAGGAATAAACAAAGAGTCACAACACAATGACGATAAATGAGTTGATGCAACAAGTAGCAACACCAGTAACAAGAAATGAATCAATCCAATAACAAGAAAAGAGTCACAACATAGTAATGAGGACAAGGATAACCGAGGAAAGCAGAATGGCTAACCACGTAGCACATGCATAACATGCCATGCACATTATACCATGCAGACCATACCATGCACCATGCCATGCACTCCATACCACGTCCACCAAACCATGCACACCATACGTTCTCATCAACATATCCATCAGTGCCATCTCCACCACCCATGATATGCAAATCGACCGCCCATGCCACACAGAAACCACATCTCAACATTCTCTCACACCAGCACCTCCATTCTCTTTCTCTCAGCCTTCCTCACTGCACTCTGCATTTCTGCCATCACTCATCACCGCAATCTTTATCTCAGCCATTACTCTTCATTGCACTCTTTCCCCCAGCCATAGCTCCTCTTACACCCCTTTCCACTCCTCACCGCACTCTATCCCTCAGCCACCACTCCTCACCGCACTCTCTATCTCGGCGACACTCCTCACCGCACTCTTTTCCCCAGCCACCACTCCTCACCGCACTCTTTATCTCGGCCACCACTCCTCGCCGCACTCTTTATCTCGGCCACCACTCCTCACCGCACTCTTTATCTCGGCCACCACTTGCTCCAGGAAGGTCCCATTCGCCTGGTCGCCCACCATCAGCCGCACCCGCGGGTCCCGCGCCTCTGCCTGGTGCTTCTGTGGGGATGAACGAGGAAGATGATTGGGGACAGGCATGAGATGGGCAGGGATTTAACATGGTCAGGAGGTGCGGAAGAGTCACCATCAGCCGCACCCGCGGGTCCCGGGCCTCTGCCTGGTGCTTCTGCCAAAACAGAGAAGCGGAAAGGATTGGAGATAGGGGTCGGGACAAGCATGAAGGTGGAGAAACAAGCACAGGCAAACGATGGGTGAGGCACAGACACGGGCAGTGGGGAAAGCGGAATGACTGTGGGATGGTTAGAAGCTAGGTTGGGGGAAAAGAGGTGGTGAACGGACATCATCAACTGCACCCGCTAGTCGTGTGTCTCTGCCTGGTGCTTCTGAGGAGAAGAGAAGCTAAGCAGATTTGGAATGGGATTGGGTGGGACAAAAAAAAAAACAACAGTGGGACAGATATGGACAGTGGAGATGGAGGGGCGAAGAATAGTCAATGACACGGATGGGCCAAGGGAGGTGGCGAAGCCATCAGCCACAACCATAGTTCCCTCTCCCCTCCCTGGTGCTTCTTGGGGCAGCAGCATGGAAAAATGGTGATTCCGTTGCCGGGACTTGAACCCGGGTCTTTCGGGTGAGAGCCGAATATCCTAACCGACTAGACTACAACGGAGATATGAGGAACGCTTGTGTTCTATTTTTATAATTTTGGTGCTTCAATCACACTCACCTTCGATATGACACCGTTGTCAATCCCGTAAATCCTGCCCCTCGGGAACGCCCTCTTCCAGAGCTTCAGCGAGTCGCCGTACTTGAGCCCAATCTCCAGCATGTTCACCTCGGGAACCTCCCACGCCGATTTCTCTCGCTTCCGCCCGCGTAATCTTTTGTTGATGTTAGCATCATGGGACTGTCGCGGCAGGCGCAGCGGGTCGAGATAGAGGCTGTAGAAAGCGCCGTAGTGATGCGTGCGCTTATCGGATGTGCCTTGTTTCACGATTTCTTCGAACGAGACGAAAGGCTGCAGGTGGGAGAAACACGGAACCGGCTTTGCTTATTAGTATAGTTACGATCCATCTGGACACCCAATAGAACATCATTAACTCGAAATTACTCCTCAGTACGTCCTACGATGAGGCTTCTGACAAAGAGAATACCTCTTGCACGGCACGCGGCGCATCACGGCAATTTCCGAGAAGGTCAAGCGCGATGTACGCCCAGGGAAGCAGGTAAAGAAGGGTTAATACGCCTCCCCCCAAAGCTAGAATCCATACTCCAATTTTACCCATCTTCTGACAATCCTGCCGCGTACCTGATCGCGTACTTCAATACACACACACGCAAACCACAATCAGGAAAAATGCGAAGGGTTGATTCTTCGCCCATATTAGGAACCGGTGATTTCTTCCTATCGTGCGAAAGGAGCCTGCTGCTGACGTTGTGATGTTCTGAC